CGTCTGTAGCACACATAAGACTTAGGGTGGCTTCTCGCTCCTCCAGTCTCTACTGCAGTCAGCCACACAAAGGAACAAATGTTCACGTTGAGGTTCCCCGAATTGACCCAATGAGCTACATGTTTGACCACTGTTCCTGGAGAGCCCATGGTTTCAGTTCTTCACAGACAAATGTCACCATCACACCTGGGCCTGTTCTCTGTCATGCTTGGTAGAAGAGGACATCTGCTCACTCCTAAGCAACATACCATGCTGATAATTATCTGGATCCCCAAATCTTGTCTCTCTGGAGCGTTCTTACAATGAATACCATGCTCCTGATAATTTTCAAAACTGTGGTTGGGACTGATGTGTTCCTTGGACACTGTTTCTGGTAAGCTCAATTTATTCTCTGGAACAGTTAGTCAACCACCCCTGACTTTGTTATATATGTCTTAGTTAGGGTTTTATTGAGAAGCGACACCATGACCACAGCAACTCTTGTAAAGGAAAACCATAGTGAGAATTTTTGGTTTCTTTAAAAACACAGAAATGTTGTGGGAATATGTTTTTGTTTTAATTCCAGGCATGGGATATGGGGTGGCTTCAAATTGTCCACAGTAGCTAACTATGATTTGTTTCGAGCTCTGGCAGGGGCATGATTTTGCCAGTGGAGGAGAGTTTAAATTTGGAATTCTGGGGACTCTTCAGAAGGTTTATAAATGCCAGTGCCCCAAGAGGCAGCAGCAGCAGCTGCTGTTGCTGGCTGCTGGTTGGCATATCCTGATGATGAAGATAAAATTTGCCCCAGAAAACTCAATGCCCCTAATGGACAGGAAGAAGTCTAATGATGTCAATGCCCCCTTTTCCCTCTATCCTTCTTTCTCTTCTACCTACTATTGGGAGGTTGGAAGGGATAGGAGTGGTGTAGGGAGGTAGGAAAAAGAACCCAACAAAGTAGCCGAAAGTCCAGTTACAGAAAACATTTAATTGGGGCTGGCTTACAGTTTCAGGGGTTCAGTCCATTGTCATCATGACTGGAAACATGGAAGTGTGCAGGGAGACACAGAGCTGGAGGAGGAGCTGAAAATTCTACTTCCAGATCAGCAGGCAGCACAGAGTGAATGTTACATTAGCCCTGGCTTGAGCATTTGAGACCTCAAAGCCCGCCCCCTTGTGATGTACTTCCTCCCACAAAGACACACCTACTCCCAAAGGCCACACCTACTAACAGTGCAACTCTCTATGAACCTATGGGACCATTTTTATTCAAACCACAACAATATGCTCGCATGGATTTTCCCAACAAGACTAAATTTACCTGTATCTGCTCCTTCTTCCAGTTGCTCCTAGTAAACTATAGCACCTCAGCCTAAATCTACCTGTATCCTGATGACATCAGTTGTGAAAGGGCCCTCACTATCCATGTCTCCCACAGACTGACTTGGCTTGCTCCTTCCATCCTCAGCAGTAGCACTCAGAGCAGTAAACAGAATAGTGGTTATATCTGATCACTCAAAGGAAGGCTATGTTACTTCTTCCAGCTTGAACTGAAGCTGAGAAGCTGTGAGGTTGATTGTGTTAGGTAAGATCCTCTGGGTTCCAAAATGAAAGCCTATTGAATAGACTCTAAGTAAAACAGGGGCATATTTTCTCAGGTAATAAAAGTACAGGGTGGTCAAGCTGGTTAGATGGGTAATGGTAATGGGACTTGCCACCAATCCTGATGACCTGAATTTTATTCTCAAGACCCACATGGAGATAGCCTAACTCCAGAAAGCTATCCTTTGGCTTCTGCAGGCATGCTCATGTGCGCGCGCACACACACACACACACACACACACACACACACACACACACACCTAAATAAATGCAAAATTAAAAGTACAGCTGAAGGCAGACTTCATCTGATGCTCTACCCAAGACTCAAATGGTGCTAGTGGGACCATGTTTCACTGCACCTCTTGGGTCAACCTGGTCTCAGGTCACATCCTTTCTTGGGCTTCCTGTGAGGACCCCAGTAGCCACAGGCCATTTCAGGGGAAAGTGTGAACCTCTTTCCTGCCCTGTTTGTATAAATCTTGTCACTCATCTCACTGGGTGAGTTTCTGTCGCAAACTCACTGTGATGGCTATGTGACTAAGGTGTTTTGCTGCAGGGCGGGACACACAGGACCCCATGCAGACCCCTTGGAAGGAGTGTGGAGGAAAGCAAGCCTCTACAGTAAAGATGGGGGACACTGTTCTTCTGAACATCATACTGCACAAGAAGTTTCCCAAACGAACACAGGTCAGAAGTAATGGGCTTGAATGTTTTCGCATGTGCTAATGTGTGTATGCAGAATTTCACACGAATGCAAAAATACATCATCCCAATACGAGGACCACTCTCAACTACAAGCTTGGCATGAGCCAACAAACTCATTTGCCCATCAGCAACATTAACAAAAGCTAACATAGTCTAGTTTTCTGACTGTTATATTTAACATCAGAACTGGTGGCCTTAGGAGACAGTTACTAACTTGTCACTATGGAAGGAAGAACAAAAGCCATGCAAGTGCTAGCAAGGATGACACTGAGGGAAATGAGGGACTCAGGCATATCCACTCAATGCATAATTCCAAATGCCTGTGGTATGTGATCAGAACTCCTGAGGTTGATAATACAAAATTTGGTGTGCAGGCTTTTTAAAAAGTACACCACCAGTAAAAATGGGGGCGGAAACAGGATTGGGAAGATGTGAGATAGCCTCCATAAAACCTTGGGACTTTTGACAAAATAAGCTTACCAGAGTTTCTGTTTGGGGCTGCAATGGCCACACATTGGTAGATCCACTGTAATCAGTCACTAGATGTGGGATTCTTAGGGAAGCTGCTATCCAGCCAGAGGAGATGACTTTTTGGAAACTGTGGGAGACCCCAGAGGACCTGACAGCTGGAGGGGAGTCTTTCAGTGTCTTTCATGGTTGTGGCACCTAGAGCACAGGAACCAGCAAAGTTGAACGGAAAAGTGGGTGCTCTAGCTGAAAGGAGAGGACAGAATGGTTTAGAGTCTATCCATGAGCAATGCTGTGATGAGAAATGTTTCAGGAGGAGACGCAACCCCAAGACAGTGGGAGAGGTGCTGGATGTGGGTACTGTGCCATCTCCATCTGCGTGCTTAGGCAGAGCCTACAGGGTGAGTGGAGGAATCCCACACTCGCCTGCAAGAAGGGGATGTGGGCATAGAGCACAGCTAATGCAAAGCAAACAGAGAGAAGAGTGCCCGTGTGGCTGGAGGGAGCAAGTCAAAACAGACCAAAGGGAAATGTATTTAGGACAACTGAGAACCAGATCATGCTGGGCTTAGGGGCCAAGTTCACACTTAGAGGCCATGATAAAGCTTACAGTGAGAAAATACAACAGGGACATCTTGTTGGACATAATTCCTGTGCTATGCTTAGATCCCTCCTTCCATAAAGGTGAAAGAAAACTGAAGCCCATAGGATGGATAGGTCAGTGCAAGGTTGCATAGCTAATTCAAAACCCTAGAGAAAATTAGAATAAAGAATGACAAGATGGAATTCATATATTAGGAATGCTATTGACTGCACTTAAAAAAAAAGTCCACATTCAAATAGGTTTGGGGAAAAAAAGGAATTTACCTCACGTTTCTAGGAGAGCAGAGTTGAGAGGGCCCTGGGCATAAGTCCGTGGGTATCTCTATTGCTCCATCCATCATTCTCAGGGCATCAGCCAAGATGAATTAGGATATACGAAGTTAACAGAGTTCAACCCTAGAGACTTTTAAAAAGCAGAAGTAGCTGCACACAGTGGCACACACCTTTCATGCTAGAACTTGGCAGGCAGATGCAGGTGGATCTCTGTGAGTTCAAGACCAGCCTTGGTCTACAGAGTGGGTTCCAGGACAGCCACGGTTACACAGAGAAACCCTCTCTCCAGAGAAAAAAAGAAAGAAAGAGAAGCAAAGAAAGTAAGAAAAAAATGAAGAAAGAAAGAAAAAAGAAAAAGTATGTAGTTTGTCTTTCATGCTGTCCCTGCTGAGGCCAGTCAAAGACCCTGGGCAAGAATACTGGTCTCATGCAGACTCTTGCTGATCACCGTGTCAGAAGAAAACAAGAACTTGTGGAATGTGATGCTACCAGATGCAATTAGATGCTGCGTTTCAGAAACACCACACATGGGCTGGAGAGGTTAAGAGCATTAACTGCTCTTCCCAAGGTTTTGAGTTCAATTCCCAGCAACCCCATGGTGGCTCATAGCCATCTGTAACAAGATCAGGGCCTTCTTTTGGCATGAATGCTGTTCCCTGGTTTGCTCCCCACCTCTTGCTTAGTCTGCTTTCTCACACACACCAGAACTGTGTGCCCAAGGGTGGCACCACCTACAGTGGGCTGGGCCTTCCACTTCAGTCACTAAATTAAGAAAATGCTCCTCGGGCTTGCCTTTAGGCCGACCTCACCGAAGCATTTGCTCAGTGGTGGTTCCCTCTAGATGACTGTAGCTTGAATAGAATTAACAACAACTCACCAAGCAGGACACCTGCCCCTTACAGGAGGCCCATGGGCTGCAATTCCACCGTGTGCCTGAAGGGCGGAAGAGAGCAGCGCTGATGAATATCACATCCAACTCCTCCCTGCCATCAGAGCAATTATGCGCAGAAAGAAGGAATTAGCCCCACCTTTAATAGCGAGGAAATCCACTAAAAACACCCCTCCTCCCCAAATACCTTTATGTACACTGGCTAGAACTAGATCTCATAAGCGCTCTTAACTAATCCCTGTTAGAAAGAATGAGGTTACTAAAGTTGGCTCAGACCAAACGAACACCCCTTTTAGAAATAAGGATTGGGGCACTCTCCCCTTAGCCTTAGGGCTTTAGAAAATCGGTGCAGGTCTGGGGCATGATAATTCTTCTCTGGAACATTTGAATGGGGCAACTCCACAAATAAGGGATGTTTCAGTACTGTCAAGGATCTAATGTTGAAACAAAAAGGAGAAATGGGATGGAGTCAGGGGAAAGCATGGTAGAGGGTAAGTCGCCTGGTCAACACTAAAGAGTGAACAGCTGGGAGATGGAAAAACCAGAGGACAGGAAGAGACTGGCTTAGAATCAGACTCAAAGGGACAGTGTTGTTTTCTTCAAATATACTTTCCTCACTGCCGTGTGCGTATGTGTGTGTGCGTGTGTGTGTGTGTGTGTGTGTGTGTGTGTGTGTGCCTGTGCATACGCATGCTCCTGTCTATTTTCTTCCTTTGGGCTTTCTGTTCTTGCCCTGGGAAGCACCAGGAGTACCTCTGGAAGGCACTTCTGCGTGACCACTGCTAACTGTCTTGGGCCCTGCTCCTCTGAGTCAGGGTATCTATCACATCTACTGAAGGCGAGCATCACTTCCAACATGTCCCCTTCATAGCCCCATCACTTTGCATCTGCATTATAGCTTACAAACTGATCTCCCTGTGTCCAGTTCAGTCACTTCTCTTCCTCCAGCAGACTTGAGAATGCAACAAACCTATCAACCTGATAGCATTTCCCCCTATTCAGACCCACCAATATTTCCCCAGTAATTGTCAGATACATGCAGGGCCTACAGTGCCCACCCCCTTATTCAAGGTCCCCCTAAGGGTTTTGTCACTCTCTGTGCCTCGTTCACCCACCCTCCCCAATTCCTTCCTTCCAGCTTCTCTATCTCTCCTTGAAGCATCCTTACCTTCCTGTTGGTTCTTCTAACTCTTAACCATGCTTCACCATTCAGCACCCTGAGAACCGTTTTTGACCCTCACTGCTTCGTTCCTGGGCTATGCTAGATGCCTGGACCCTGCTCTCGGAATAGGCTGTCCCCATCTTTGTCGTGGACATAAACATACCATGCAGAGATCATTTGACTGTCTGCTCTGTAAAGAGATTCCGTAGAGAAGGGGCTGTTCTCTGTTCCCTGTCTGAGCACTGAGCGGTGTGTATGGCGGTGCTGGCACTAAAAGCGATTGTTACAACAGCACCAGTAAGACACGAAGCCGAGGAAATAGGAGGATGTGCCGAGGAAAAAGAGGAAGGGGGAAAGGGTTGAGAAAGGGCAGCACGCGGAGAGTTGCTACAAGTCCCTCTCTGCCCATCTCCCTCAGTGTCTTGGAATCTGGGCTTCAGCCCCAATTCAACCCATTCGTTTAATGCCATTCCTTCCTGAATCACCCCCTGAGTAAGACGGAGAGGACAATTTCAGAGAAATTTCTCTGCTGCCGTCATTCTGACAGCCTGTTCCCTTGTCTTCCACCGAAGTACTCAGGACACACTGGCAGAAGCTCGGCCGCCTGCTGTCCATCTTCTCAGCTGCCCCGCCTCCTCCAAGGTCGCACGACAAACTAAAACTCTGACTCCCTCTTGGGGCGGCCACATAGCTTGGAAAGTCAGACTCGGGCCTCCCTTCAGCCAACCCGGTCACAGGGAATGCCTGCCTCACTCTGGTCACAAGGGAATGTCTCTCTCAGGATCCCCACCTAGCTCCCCCAGCATCGTGCATAGCGTTTTCCAAAAGGAATCTTGAAAACCCAGGTAATTTTATTTTTTATTTTTAAACTCGGTCTCGATGCTGGGGAAAAAAGTTGGAGAAAGAGGGAATTCGAGAAGTCACCCGGAGCTGGAGCCATCGCACTCCTGCATGAGCGACGAAGGAAAAGGGAGCCTAAGTTCAGCGCGCGCCAACAGCCACTTGACCCCGGCCTCAGTGTAGGAACCTGTAGCAATGGGTTTGACCTCTTATCTTGGCTGCGAACATCACCACTAGGGAGAGGCAGAGGCTTGCACAAACCCCAACTCGCTTTCTGGCAGCGCAAACACCAGGCTGAGGTAGGGGGGAGGTGTGTGTGTTTGGGGGTGGGGTGCTTGACCAGAGGGCTGGAAGGGCACTGTCAGAAGAAGCCTGACCCTGCCCCGGGCAGGTTCCGGGGGGCTCACTCTGGCCTCGCTCCGGGATGTGGGTGGTGTAGGGGTGAGCTTCCTCTTTGCCAGCTTAGAGCGCCGCGCCGCGCCGCGCCGCTTAACCGGTGTCCGGGCTTCGGTGACGCGGAGCTTGGAGAGAGGGGGGAAGAAGCGAAGAGGAGTCCTGCCGTCCCCCAACCGGGCGCCCAGGCGTGGAAACGTGGGCGGCGGCGAGCGGCTGGCCTCCCTCCCCGCCCTCCCCGCCCTCCCCGCGCGGCGCTCCCGCGTGTGCGGCTGTGTGAGTGCGTGTGTCTCCCTCTCGCCCGGCGCACACGCTCCGGCACTAGTGCAGGCGGCTCCCGGCTCCGCTCGCTCGCCCCGGCCGCTGCGCTCCCGCCTAGCCGCCGCCGGCGCCGCCGCAGTCGCAGCCGGGCATGGTGAGTGACTGAGGTGCAGCCGCCGCGCACCCCGGCCGCCCGCCCGCCGGACCCCAGCCTCGGCCGGCCGCACCGCCCCCGGGCCCGGCGGCACCCCGGGGGCTCGCCGCGTGCCCTCGGGCCCCGGTCCCAGCCGGGACGCGCTCCTCGAGGGCTGCGCGCTCCCTCCCCGCCCGGCCGCCC